TTTATAAAATTTTTGATATATAACGCGCGCTCTGATTGGCTGACGACCGTGTTTATATCAGAGGACAGAGACACGGCTTACCGGCAAAATTTTCTTTTCGCTCGAAAAATTTTATAAAAGAAATATAAAACGGCCGCTTGTGTCTCTGTCCTCTGATATAAACACGGTGGGAGTTGAAAAACACTCGAGAAGCAAGAGAAACACTCGCTACGCTCGTGTTCCTAAGCTTGCTTCTCTCGTGTTTTTCGAACTCCCACCGTGTTTATATGAGAGGACAGAGACATGCACGTCGTTTTATATTTCTTAAATAATTTATACAGATAAGGCTTGTGTCCAAACTTCTCCTCTGTATACGGTTGGTGTATCCGCTGTGTCTCCGGAGATTTCTATATATGCTCTCAATTCTTTGGACGATATGCCTCCGGATATATGTTCGATACGTCCGTACGATATCATTGAACACGATCGAAGAAAAACAAAACTCATCGCAGGCTCAGCTTTCTTTGTGATCTCCTAGTACGATACATGACTGCTTACGACACGTTACGTGTGGACAGATATAGTTTTGTATTCAGATAAAACAAAATCCCGGAAACAAAAAACACTGAACTCGATTGGACGGCGCCCACGACTGCTCACAAGATAGTCACGTCTCAAGGCACTGCGACAAGTGATCGTTTGTATAAAATTCCAGGATTTTTCGAGTACTTTTCAAGCACAAAACTTCGATTTTCAAGGACTATCTTAAGACTCTCGTTTGAGGTTGCTGGACTTTGATCAGCTGTGAGTTTTGAAAATTCCCTCATTTCAATAAAACGTTAAAAATAATCACATGTAGAAAACTAAAAAACAGATTCAAGGAATACTCCAGGACTATTTTGGGATTTTTTCCCTATTTTCAAGGGCCCTTGAAAACTCGTTTTCAATCCCATGGCTTTTCAATGAATTCAATGAGTAGAATACAGCTTTTCTTTCGACTTAGAAGATTTGAGCAATAAAACCTATTACATTGCTTTGTATCACTGCAACAATATCATTGAATCCTGTTCAGTTTTGGTCACCATTCTTGAATGGAAATGGTTGCTGTAGAATGGTAGTTGCACATTTTACATTCAGTACTCCAGTAAGGAGAGTAGATGAAATATCTCAATCCAAAAAATGGTACAACGAGTACAGAAAACACCCATTTTATTATTATTGTGCGAATCTGCGTGAGTGCAAAAGACACTATAGTACAGAGGAAGCAGGAACAACTGAAGAAGAGGAAGGAAAAGACGAACACAAGTATCTTAAGAGCCGTTATACCTAATCCATGAAATAGCAGTTATGGTACGCCTTTAATTTTGGGCTGTTATTCTTCGCTTTAATTGAGGTATTACTTGCTACCATTTGACTAGTGATTAAGTCGTGGGTAAGTGTCGTAACGATTTTATTAGGTACTGTTAGCCTCTTCTATGTATTCTTAAAAAAACAACATTCTGCAAAACGTTTTATGGAAACTGAGGGAATTCCCTGATAACCACATAAAGAAACAAACACGAAAATGTCCTAAATCAAAAATAAATGTAACAATATTAAATAGGCTAAAATACAAATAATACCTGTAAATTCCTTACATAATTCCTCCAAAATATAAGTCCTAACGCCTACGAGAACTACAACATCCTTTGTAACATCTTTACAATAATACTGTTTGGCCCAACCCTCAAATAAATGTAGAATTCAAAGAACTTTAAATAAAATTTTTACATCGAGATCTTCGTTTTGATTCGTCATTAAATTTGAATATTTTTTTTTACAATAAAATCATTTTGCAGTTCACAAAATAAAAATTTCGCCACACATGGAGGTTTAAGACATAAACTTCGTGACGACATGCGAAAACGTTGTTCATCTACATGTACTATTATTATTATGTCGAGAGCTATTTACTTTCATACATGAAAACCCCTCCCTGCAAGACAAGTATTGTTAAGGAGTGTTTTTGTACTGGTAACGTCAAATATAACGGCACGTTTTGTTTAAAAAACAACAATATCTTTTGATAACAGGAACAATTTTGTTGGCAATATGAAAGACATGCATTTCCTTTGGAAATCAACAGGCGACGTGTCAATTATATAACATACTCATAACACACGAGTTAAAAGTACCTTGTCAAAATTCACTAGTAAATCGAACAAACAATCAAAATCACGTTTCACATGGCATCAAACGCGCCGCAACTTAAAACCGTGATCGAAGCTTTGATCAATTTACGACAGTAAAATGGCGCAATTAGAAAGTCTCGGTAATTAGATGGATTATTGAGCTTATCCCTACGACGCTTGCTCCGAGCAAAGATTTTAGCGACATTAGTGCTATTATCTACAATGTAGCGTGATTGCATTAAAACCGGAATTTTCTTCACGAACAAAGTCGCTGTAAGCAGACATTTGGTCACCGGTTCCGATCAATTCTCGTGGTTTTGATACAGCCCGTTTAGAAAGGTTGCCCACTTAACGTCCTTATCACCTTATTGCAAAATCGTACGACTTGAAATACTGAACATTTCAATGTTTTCAACTATTTTCAAAGTTGTAAAGCATCTGAAAACTGGAAATGCATTTGAAGTGACGTCAACATATACAAAATCATTACTGCTTATTCTTTATTCTATTTTTTTACATTCAAAATGTTTCTACTTGTAAAAGCTTGATAACGGTTAATGATTGTTTCACTAAGAAGTCACATTTTGATAACACTATGAAGAACGTCAGGCTGAATGACGTCACTTCATTTGCAATCAGGTTTGTAACCCGGAAAATATAGCACGTGTACTTCAAGACAACATTTTAACAAAATAATGAAGGAAGAAGTACAATCATTTAATTGCAGCTCTGAAATGGAAATACTTAGAGCACCTTTTTTTTTAAAAAAAGGTTTCATTTCCTTTCAAAGATGACTGACCAAATAGTTGTAGGAATTCCTTGTCAGAAGTTAAAAAAAAATCACTTTATTGCTGTTTACATTTCTTGTTCAACTGGGCAATCCTTTCGAAATAGGCTGTACGTCAAATTGCAGACCGGAAAGTGTACAAAATAGTGCGAATATTGTAGTTTTACCAGTTTTTGCATACATGTCCTGTTTGTTCAAGTGGAAATTTTAAGGTAGCCTTTACACAGACGGTCTTGCTGCCGAATTCACAAATTCTCCCAACGCGACAACAAGACCACCTGCACAGGAGGCTAAGAAGTCGAGTCCCTCCCAATCGAGAAATCCCATAGGAAACCCAACGAAACCTATTCTAATTAATGATAATAGTCTCTAAACTTCTATGATTTTAGTAAGGCACTTATATTTACGTTTGTGTTTCTTGTGTTCCTCCACCGTAGAATCATCACTAGCGACGGCGTGCTGCTTGTGTGCCAAACGGGGGGACTTGGTACGTTGGAAAGAAATGTTCGACAACTTATTGCGCAAGTCAGGAATAAAGTTCTTACTCCGCGCCTGCGCAGACGCAAAAATATTCCCTTTTCCAGACCTGCTAGTACTGGGTGAGCGGTTGCCAAGAAAGCCAGTGGAATTTCTTTTATTGACTTCTTGTTCAGTATCTTCTTCTCCGATACTGCCTTGGTTACCTTTCTCGATACTGGACGAGCTTTTAAAACTAACCGCCATTGATCGCAGGCTCCCTCCTAACCCAAGCCTAACCATCGGACTAGAACCAACATCGGATTTCAACGTTTCTTGCGAAGAACAATCGTCTTCGTCGATATTTGTCAAATCAGCATTCTCATCTCGCAGCTTTCTTTTACTTTCATTGTATGATTCCCTAATTTTTGATATTTCATCCAAATCTATCACTGCTTCTGGTTGAGTTCCAGCCTCATCAGCTTCATCATTATTATCGTCATTTTGAGTCTCTACGTTTGTGTCTTCCACAGGATTCTCAATAGTCTGTAGTCTCTCTAATTCATTGCTTTGCTCAGTAATATTTACAATGGGTAGATCGGTTTCTTTAGGAGCTTCTGAGTTAAGCTCCGAGTCCAGCTCAATGAGTTGTCCCACTTGATCATTTTTACAAGTACTTTCATTGACATTTGTCCTGTTTTGATCCTCACTGCTTTGCTCCGTTATCGGTACAGCGGGTTCTTGAGGGGTCTCTATATCGAGTTCAGAGTCCAGCTCAATAAGTTGATTAGATCTACCAGTAACATCTCCCACATTCTGATCTTCGCTGTGTTTGTCTATATTATTGGATAAAGTCAAAGGGCTACAACTTCCAGTGTTTTTGTCTCCACTGAATTCCTCCACAGTACCATTATTACTGGTATTTGTGGTCTTATCATTGGCATTTCCATTTAATAGTTCAGTTTTTTTAGAATTTGCTTCATTATCCTCAGACATCCCAATCAGAACACCATCACTTTGACACTCTAATTTAGTAGCACTCTTAATAGGTTTATCTTGATCCAAATTCATTTTTAAACGTCCTTCCGATTCAAACCCCTCCTCACCATCACTATTACTGGACGAACTACTCCCACTGCTTACTGGAGCGCTGTGTCCAGACCTCTTACGCTCCGGTTTATATTCCTCGGCCTCATCTTGACGCGCAAGGCATGGGTCTGAGTAGGGTCTGGGCATGCCCGTGAGGTGATCTCTAATGAACGAGCGAAACGTTCTTGGTGACTTTTTAGTGGGTGATGTGTTCGGATCTTCTTCGTAATCACCTGGGCTTAGTTTGCTCTTTCTTTTGTTGGGTTTGGACCAGCTACTTAGCCGAGATTTGGACGATATTTGGACAACTTCAGGTGGTGCCTTACTTCTTTTCCTGTTCATGGAATATTTATATCAGTTCATCAACAAAACAAGCGCTCCGTGGCGATAAATACTGGACGATGAGCAATCAATCAGAACGCAAACTCAGGGATCCAAAGTCATGTATGGTAGGAGGTCTCAAGATAGGTTGCGAACCTAAAGGTAGATATTATGTCATTGAATAACTATGTGCTAAAACAACTTACTTGTCTAGTCTGTTGCATTCAGAGATCTTGATGCCAAGTGATTTATGCGACCGTGCTGTAGCAAAGGCATCGGCAATTCCAAGTAGAACACCTAGACAGATCGAAGAAATGAAATGAGAATAGAAAATCTTTTTCACTTCTTTCTTGATAATGTCAACACAATGCACATAAACTTTTATTGCCTTCTTTATACTCAAACGTCTTGTATTATAATATGTGACTATGTGTTGGATAAAGAACTTCATTAAAAAAGACTGAAGTGTCATGCTTCATTGTTAGGACGGTGCCTTGTGCTCAACAGATAACATAAAAAAACCCTCAAGTCTTGTACACGATTGCCGAATGCACCAAATTTTAGTACCCATCCTTCTCTCACACACAATACCACAGTCAAACTCCTTACCTTTAGCCTCTTCTGGTGTACGATGTTGTATGGTTCGAAGGGTATGGAAATATCCACTTGTTCCATTGTATTTGTAGTGAATGCGGATGAACAAATACCGTGATTTAAATGACGCTTCAAAACCTGAATAATAATAAAAAAAAATTTTTGCAGACGAAAAGTATGGTAAACCACGTAAGGAAAAACAAACAGATATCGTCTAACGAGCCCAAACTCACTACTGGCGTTGTCATAGTGACAGTCTTACCGATTTCTATCTTATCAACATCTTCGAGTGCAATTCGCTCATACTGAGTTATTTGTTCTGCATCGTCGTCGTAACTGTTGAATAAATGTACATACAATGGTTCGTAAAAGAATCATCGTATTTATTTCATAATTGTTATACATTTTGAATTCATAAACAATACCTTGCTACATAATATGCATCGTAAGTGAGCAGTAAGATGACATCTTGATCTTGGCCAAGTTCTCCTTCAGTGCTGTGTGACAATGAATACATTTTGACTATCTAACACCGAATTAAAACACCTTGACACGTTCAAAAAGGATACATGATTGAAACTAAGATGAAAGGGAAAATGGGAGGGTAAAAGAGGAGCACAAATCATGTTTAAACCAAACACTACCGTGACAACTCGAGAAGCGTCAAATGAATCGGACGAATGTTTTCAACTTATGGTGGCCAAAACACCGGCTCCGCGGTGCCAGCCACCGTAGCTGAATTCAAGACATGTTGATGACTAAACTACATACTTTCTATCCAAGATACATACTTATAAAATGGATCAACTAGTGCCCAGCCTCCTAGACATTCCTCTGTCTCTGACAGCAGTAGGTTTTGGCAATGCATAACCAATTGTGCAACGCACTCCTCCCGCTCCATCGTCCAGGGGTACTCCTCGTCACCATTCTTTAACGCAGCCATTGCTTGAGTAAGATCTTCGGTTAATGGATTCCCTAGCATAGCATCTGAAAATAAACGTTTACCAGGTTATTCAACGTAATTTGTATTATTTTTAGATTTGAAAGGTTTGCATCACAAGCTGAAGGCGTGCAACACGTTTCAGACAATCAGTGCGCGCGTTATATAATAAATTTTTATTTTGATGATAAATATCAAAAACAATTCCTTACCTATGACCGTTTGTCTATACACAGCTTTAAATCTGTTCAGGTAGTACCTAATAAAAATAAAGCACAGGTTTATAAGTTTACGCAACCAAATAATCAATAGATGAACAAATCAGACTAGTGATTCCTCTACATGTAGTATGAGCTTTGTCGGTATTTGTAATATAAGATGACAAAAACATTTCTTGCTCACAGATCGGGGCAACGTTTAACAAGTCAGGAAGCTTTGTCTGTTAATATACAAGGTACAATTGTCAATAAAAAAACTGTTTGCATGTCACCCTGGCGTTCCGTAAGTCTAATAAATTGTACCTGTTTGCTGAGTTATATCCATCTTTCATAACACCTGCAAACCTTCGTTCACCAGTGCGTGTAAAGTCGCCCTAAAACGACAAGTTGCTATTACGAAAGGCATCATTAACCCATTCATTTCTTCACTTACTACATGTATCTGTATAAAATTACATATGTGGGCATATTTTAATATGTGTCGCAAAATATCTATTACTATAATTTTTTGTTTATTCATTCTTGAAAAGGAATGGACCTGGACTGGACCTCAGCCACTTACCCCTCCCATAGGGCTAAAACACCAGTCCTATTACTAAGATACTTGCTCAGCTTTGCACAGGAAACCCACTTACCTTCATCGCTGCTGTCCCAGCATATTGTCGACTGATTGCATCACCATTGTTGGCCCACATCTCTTGAAAAGATGTGCGAATGTCTGATGGGAGATTCTGATCCGGAAGTAACTTTCCCAATTTGCGAAGCTATAATAAGAAATACAGATTTTCAAAAAAGGGGAAAGAAAATAGGATGGATGAATGGAAGAATGAATGAATGGAGACTATAAGATAGAAATAATAAAATTATCAATATTTGATGTTCAGTATTAGTATGTCGTAGTTCAAACACTACTCTTAACATGTACCACAGAAAAGAAACCTCTAATTTCAATTGGTTCTTGTGCCTGTACTGGAGAAGTTCTTATTTATTTACTATACCTGGACTTCCATGACGTGCCTGGCCAAAGCCGCTTGTACAACATTGGTTCTGTCCAGACAGTCCATACAATTGACACGAAATACACTACGCTGTTCGCATATGATTCCCTTTGAATCCGTCCTGGAAAAGAATATGAGAAGTGTAACAATAGGTAGCCTGGGAATCCCGTTCTCCACCCCTGACAGAGCCCCCAGTCAGTAAACTGTGCGCAAAAAATGAAAAAATTAAAAAAAAACTATTACAAGTATAAGATTCGACCTCATTATTTTTAAATACACCGTTCTTCCATGGTTTCACTAGACGTTTTTACAAACATTTTTACAAAGCTTGTTTGTTTCACTACCAACGCAAGCGCACACGCAAGCGTAAACATAAGAGTGTGCAAGAGAGAAAATGAGAAATGCATGCATAAGACATGAATCCAAATATAATATGAAAACTATGATGTCAACAGAGATAAGACCATTGTCGCCATGTTCTCTTCCCTTTTTTATAAGACAAATAACAATCTTACCAGCAGTATCGCATATCTTTGATGATGTCTATAATACTGTCAACCAGGACAGCAACGTTTTCAAATTTCATTCCACGACTATGATAAAAATAAAGAAAATGTTGTCACTAAGTGTACAGTCTCAGTATAAATAGCAACGTTACTAATACATCAATCCTCACCAGTATTCGTGGAAATCATAGGTGACGTATGTCAAGAGTGGATTGTTGAATGTCAAAATGTTGTCCATGAAGGCATCGCCGATAATCTATCAAAACAAACACTTTCAGTACAGACTTACTTGAAAAATAAAAACGTTGTCGGGTTCAATCAATAAAAGCCACACTACTGCAGTCAATTCCAAAGGGGATCACGGGAAGACAAATAGTAATTACTATCGTTGACGTCACTGTCGTTACGACGTTTCTGTTCGCTCGCTCTGCATGCACCGTAAATAGCCATGACCTCCTGTAGGTGCGTTCAACGGCGGAATAAAGTTAAACTTTCATAATCATAGTTAGTTGATGCGTAGCGATGCCACTTTGTACATTTTTGCGGGGAGGAGGGGCGGAATTTGCGAGACTTAATGGAAAAAGACACAGACACAGGATTTACCTTTTCACGGCCTGTTTGATCTAACAAATTAATAATAACCTATAAAAAATACAATACACGTCAGTTAATATCCCATATAACTAGAGAAGAGACTGTGCCTGGATAAGATATAAATGCTACTGCATTCCACTTACCACACCACCATAATACTTCAACTGATGTGCAAAATGACTCATGAAAGCCAAGAGTGTGTCTTCTTCACCTGATGAAGAAAAAATACATAATAAAACGGCATTTATTAGCAATATGTATCACTGTTTTCTAGTCAAAGTCTAATGCACTGTTAAATGCAACTATAATTTACATATGAAGGCAACGCCAGATATACAGCATCAATTATAAAATATAGCACTCAAATGAAATTGTAATAAACTATCTAATTAAGTGCCCCATTGTTTTTTGCACTATACCTCTGTCAAGTCGTGGTGGGGGTCTATATTTGAATCCTGGTTGACTCCAGTAAATTGGTACAGATCCGCGAACTTGTAAGAATGACACAGAGTGAATTTCAGTTCTGATAATCTGCAATAAAGACAACTGTATGAGATGTATGTTTGGTTTCAATACTAGTTCTATTACAAAGGTAAGAGAATGAGGCTATAAAGTACGGGGTCCATTTCCCCTATCAATGAGATGTGCTACGTAGTAATGACAAAAAATCAGAACTACTAACAAAACCAACCTGTTCTGTTTCTACAAAGTTTGCAACTTCACCATCTTCATCCACTCCTCGTCTTTTGTACCGAGTTCCTATATAAACACCAAAAATGACTTGTTAACATAGATAATTAGATTATTGTCATTAAAAGCATGTCTAAAGAAATCATACTGGCAACAAGGTTATTCAATATCTATTGTATTCGTTCAAGCCAGATAAGAAAATATTGTACTCTTAGATAATAATTTGTACACCACATAACTTTGGAACAAATAACATGTCTAAGTCTTGCCCATGCATCTATTTAAAGCTTACCAGCTCTGTGAATACATCTTCTCGAAATCAAAATAAGTTCAAATTCTTCTTCTGGTAATATGCCTCTATTTTTCTCTATCAAGTCATCCGGTTCTTCTTCTTCAAATGTATTTACACAGTGAACAATTTGACAGTAACCCTGGACAACAGGAAGTATCCATCGGCTACACAGAGGATCCTGAAGACATGGAAAGGAGTTTATTTACATAGTACCAGGGATAATGTTCTTCATACATTCACCCACAGATTACCACAGGTAATAGGGAGCTTTAGATTTGAGAACGAAGACGAGGACGAGAACGAAGTTGGTGAGCGCGCACAACTTTGATGTGGTCAGCTTGCTCGCGCATATTCAAAAGAAATTCCTAATTCGCTCTGAAAAACTAATTTGACATGGTTTAGTTTATGCCAATCTTAGCACAAATTAAGGATATTTCCGCACATTTATTGCTCAANACGAAAGTCCTTTTCCCTCATTCATCCATATTCCACCAACCAAATCAATTCAAGTTTATTAATAAAACCTGGTGAACCCCACCCCAAKACAATCTAAATTCCATTGGTATAATTAAWATCGACGTTAGCGATGTTGAAAATGACACTATATAATCACTTTGAAACCGCGAAAAGTATCGTCCTTTTGAACGTCGATAAAACGAACACMAAATGGATCAGCTTCGGTCCTGGACTGCAGCGCTATCTTCAGTATTCCACTTTTCCGGAATTAGCTCAGCTTATACGCTTCCCATGTTTCAATTCCGTGCCTACCTTTAAAATACAGTAACTGCTCTTCAGAAATGCTGAATTTAGGACGTCCTCTTCGCCCATCTTCTCTCGACACAGGTGCCTCGAAACTATTCGTTGACTGCTGGTCAGAAGATATGTTATWTTTTTGAAGTATTTGGCGGGCTTGATTCATCAAATCGCACACTTCCAATGGGATCGTTTCATCTAACAGTGCTGACTCAACAACAACCTCAAGTCGTAATGCAACAGACTCATAGTTATCACTCTCAGAACGCCTACATTCTTCTAGCCTTTGAGTAATATTATTGAGAGTTTCCATTAAGTAATTACCTCCACCACTGGTCATATTTGATGGCGAATTCACTGAAAAGCAACCATCAAAAGCATGTTGTTTGCTGGTAAAGTTATCTTAATTTAGGATCSAATAAAAAAAAAGAAAAATAATCATTTACATCCTTTGCTTTTTATCCATGCATATAAGCTRCTTTCGGCCATTWATCTATTTATACATTTATTTTTTCTTTACTTCTGCCTTCCTTTTTCTTTTCATTCCCTTTTTCAACCACTGGCACAGACAATCAATCACTAACACAGAAAAAATATATATATCATGTTATTATTACTGTTATTATGTTATTGTTATGTGGTGAAACTCTGACAGTCAACTTCTTTAAATATATCATTGTATTTTCGACCAACCTACATTCTTATAAATATTTACGTAAGCACACGTGACCCTTATAAAAGGATCAATGTATTTCCCGAAGTTACTAACCGCTTAACACAGGATAATAAATTTGCAAATAACTTGAAAATCACATGAAATTACATAGGACATAACCATATATGCYTAAATGTCTGTATATGCCTTACTATTTTTAATGTAAATGTACTTTGTTTTGAAATCATTGTAAAGTAGACGTCGGTGTAGACGTGAAATACAAAAAGAAATTTGWCACTACGAAAATTACGTCAATATGATTCCTTGACCAGTCGACACTTAGCCTGCGTGGCGGCTCTAGGGYAAGGGAGAGGGGGAAAACGGAAGGGGAGGGGGTGGGGAGGCAGAGCGGAAAAAATGCNAACATTTCTTTTGCACTTCCATGTTCAGTTCATTCCCTAAATTAAGAAGGTGTGGGGGGTTTGAACTGCTCCTCACCGAAGAGAAAAGCAGGACGCAGTTGCGAGTCATGCACTTCGGTGCATGCTCCACTGACGAACTCAAATGCCTTGGAACTGGGCGGATATATATTCGTCCAGTCCAAGCGGACATACCACTGAAAAGCCAACAAGAAGATGAGGGAATGAAAGAAGAGTGCCTGACTTGTGGAGCATGTATCCCTCTCTCCAAAATGAGGGAACATATGGACTCTCATTCTCCAGAAAGTGTARGTATATTACTTAGATAGAGTCAAATTTGAAAAAGGTGTTCGGGTAAAGGAATTACATTGCAGCTGCATCTATATGCTTCCCTTACAGACTGAAGTCAAAACCCAAGTGCAGGTCCCTGACGACGACGACGACGACGACGACGACGACGACGACAACGACGAACATGACCTTGACCGTCCAACATTTGACTACAAGTAAGTCAACAAATTGCACACGGTTTGTGTGTGTCCGTTTATTGCCTTTTAGTACAAGTGTGGTCAAAATGTCGATCTTTTTATCAGTGAAGCTAACGTGAACAGTATAAAATTAAGTGCTATACTTATATCCATTCATATCATAAGTCGAACTTGCAGATCTTACCGGAGACGTTATCGGGCAATAATTCCGTTGATTTCGTTGCCTTATCTACGCACTCTGGTTATWTTTTAGCTCTTCTACTCAGTCCTCAAGCAATACTTCGCGACCCGTTCGCATTGAAACATCTGCAAAGTAAGTTTCTTTTTTATCTTGCTCTTAGATATCATAGTTCCGTTTTAAAGCTTTGTTTCGACTAATCTTGAGAAGTTATCCCTCAGCAGCATGTTAGTAGGAGAGTAATAATATAGCAAATG